TCAAATTTTTCTCAGCTCTGTCACTGACAATAAGAAACACAAGTAGCAGCAAATGGAGACTCTAGGGATTGGATCTACTTCAGCACCTGGAAGGGCCACTGGACCCAGCTTCCTCTTCCTTATATATTCCACCCAGGTAGTCAGGGATGCCTTAACCCTTTCCAAGCTGCTGCCTCACATTGTCAGAGTGTCAGAGCCCTCAAAGGATGTATCTACACTGCAATCCTGGAGTGTGATTGTAGCTCATATTGACAATACCCGAATTAGCTTTCATCTAGCTAGCTCAGGTATTGCAGCAATGATACTGATCCTGCAGCAGCATGCACTTCAGCGTGAACTGTACAAGTCCACCCTGAACCCTGGGTAATTACTCTCACAGCTACTGCTCCAGTACCAGAGCTAGGTAGATTAAAGCTAGCTCTGGGATATCTAAAGCTAGCTCTGGGATATCTACATAAGCTACAGTCACATCCCCTGATTGCAGAACAGTCATACCCTAAATTCCAGCTTTGGGATATTTAGGTACCTATGTGACTTAGTATTCAGAGGTGCTGAGCACATGCAATTCTAGTTGAAGTCAATGAAAACTGTGGGTGCTCAGCAACTCAGAAAGCCAGGCTACTTACTAGATGCCTAGCTATGGATTTAGGTGCATAAATTTAGGTATTTAAATTTCAAAATTGTTCAAAATACTATGGGACTTGGGTGACCAATCACAGTTCTCGAATAGATAATTCCAAACAACAAAACTCAGGTGACTTCTCATTATTAGCAGAACACAAACAACCCAGAGGCCAAAATGCATTTGTATGTCAAATAGTTTTATTTACTTCAAACTGTGACAATTCTCAAACAGGGAAAGGGCTACATTCAGCAGATACAAATTGTTCATTGTGACAAAATGCATGTGTTTACTAAATACTTTTCAAGAAAAATAAAATATTAAAAACCACTATGAAGTATTGTACAACTTATAATGCAATTACATAAGGCAGTGGCTCTCCATCTGTGTGAGAGCTAGCTGGTTGCATGTATGGATTCTCCTTATTTGCAACTGGTAAAGTGTATTAAAAGCATTATATTGTTTTGAACAGATTTTAGCGGGCTTAATATTTCTTTTATATGTAAGCAATGGTTGCAATTGCTATGAGGACATTGTGTAAATGTGAAGCAGAAAAGAGGCAGTCTAAAGGTGAATGAGAGGGGACGTCAGTCCTCTAGAATATGCCTATTAAGATGTAGTCCATACTATGAACAAGTGAAATTCCTAATTTAACACTTTAATAATTGGGCAAAGATCATCTAATCAGAAAACACATTCATCTACAAGCAAAATCATTATAATAATTATTTAATGTCAAATATGGTGAGGTGGGCAATATGGTTTTTATTTATCCATACACGTGACCCCATATACCAGCATTGCTATTAACAAAAATACAGGGATTGTCATAGTAGATCAGAACATTGATCCATGTAGTGCAATATACTGTCTCTGATAATGGCCAGTACCAGATGTTTCAGAGGATTTACTTTAATGCTTCAGAGGCCGTTTGTACTGTAAACCAATGGAGAGGATAACAGGTTGCCTTGCTGTTTACCAATCACTATTTAATATGCTTTACCCAATTGTTGACATTTAAATAATCATTACTGTCATCTGAGTTAGTACACATTGCCATTAAGATACTATAGTTTAAACCTCAGAGCTATTCTTTCTACACCTGGGCAAAATTTTTGGGACAAATAGTATATTCTCCAGAAAATGCAATCTTGGGCTGATGAAAACTATTCATAAATTCAGGTCAAATTTGGGAAATAGTTTCAGCTGAAATTCCCTCCCCCCCACCAAAGTCAAAATGCTTTGTTTTGATTTTGACTGTTTATTTAAAAAAAACAATAAAAAAGTATAAAATAAAATAAATTCTGAAATGAAAGGGGATTTTTTAAAATGAAAAATCACAATGTTCCACGCTGGTAATGTTGAAATGGAATGTTTCAACATCCCCAAAGTGCTTCATTTCAATTTTTTTCTAAGCAAAGTTTTGTAGGAATCCACACGTTCCTGTGAAATATTTCAATTACAACAAAACAGCATTTTTTCAAGGGAAGACGTAGGTCAGAAATGTTCTGGTCAGCTGTAGGTTCTATGGGCAAATTTAAAGAAATCCCCTTTGCAGGTTTTTAGAACGAGGTCACGACCTTCGGGCACTATCACAATCCTCTTCTGGCACTGCCAAATACTGCACCAGCAACCCTTCTGAGGGACTGAGATTTCAGCCAGAAGATGCACTTACTCACAGACCCCTCTCAACTGAACCAACAATAGCCTCCCCTCTTCCACATCTGCAAAGCTGAACTCTGCAATGTGCTGGGGATATGCACTCTCTATTTAGGTTAGGGGTCAAGTTATGCGGGGAGGGAGGCTTATGTCTCTATAGTCCTTATTTTTGTTTTGAAAGTACTGCTATACCATGGGAAAAGACACCACAAAGCGGTGTACAGGGAAATGGCTGGCATGAGAAATAAAGATTTGCTCAGAATGATTTATTAGAGTGAATTTGGTGGAATGTCATTAAATGATTATCTTCCACATAAACATGGACACATGAGACGCTGTGTATTTTAATACAAGCAAAAGTCTACTGCAGTCTCCTATGATGATGAGCTAACCAGATCAGCTACAACAAAACCAGGTTCACTCAAACCTTGAATCAAATCAAAACCATTTTATACTGTACAAAAGGTTGGTTGAGGAACCCTTCCCACTGTCTCCAGACAAAAGGAGATGAGGACCACCTAGCATGGCTCCTTTCATGATCTTTGTGAGCCCCACAATCTCTCTGTAATGCCCTCACCAACCACCTCCTTTTTTTGGACAAGATTGTAGAGCCAAACACTTTTTAATCCCCCTCAGCCGCATAACTGAAAGCTCACATGCTTGGAATCAAGTTCATGAACACTGGGGTCTATAGTATCAGAGCAGAAGGAGTCTGAATTCAGAAGGGTGGTGTACTGAAAACTATTAGAACTGTGATCTATCACTTTAAATTCTCAGTGGTTTTCCTGGTCCTTCTTGCAGGCAGGGGGCTCTGCAGGGAAGTATGGCTGGGATCAGAGTTGAGGGCGGGGTGCGTGAGTTGTGCCTCTCTATTTTAGGGAGCAGTCTGCTTTGTCTTTCTCTGTTTGGGGTTCTTCTGTGTTATTCTGAATTCTTAGAAATAAAGAAGTGTTACATTGCAACCATCCAGCAAGAGTATTTTATGCCTTTAATCTAACTTCGCTGTTTGTTTACGTGAAACATAATCAGAAGCTCAGAGGCCTAGTAGACAGTGTGTTGGCAGCATTTTCACTAACTCAAGATTACCAAGCCTTTTGTACCATTGGTTTCAGAGTTAGCGTGGGCGTTAACAGTAATTTTTTGAAGCGTTTCTTGCTTAATATCCCAATGACTAGATGATCACTCTACTTTAGTATCAGTAATTCCCTACTTATACTAAAGACACAATGCTCTGCTTCTTCACAGAGGCCACTTTTAAGGGCCCCCCACACTTCTCTGGCCCTCTATACTTTGGCAAGAGTGCATCCATTCATGTATGACATGCAAAGGCCATCTTTGTGGGCACACACTTTCAAAGGTTCCACTCAAGTTTTATTTGTAAAGGATTAGGGTTTGCGGGACCTGAGGTGGGGAAATTCTGGTTATGTGGCCTGGTTTCTTTTATGCAGAGAGTTTACTACTGCTTTTCTTTGTCTTCCTCTGATTGTATTTTTTATTATTTCTCAAAGCTGCTTAGAGCCTGCGAGAGATGTTTCTTTTCAAGTTTATATATTGAAATCTACATTTAAAAATTATTGTATTTAAAGGCAAGACAATGTATTTTGAAAGGAATACTTTCAACTACTCTGAGTCCTACATAGTTCCTGGAATCTCAGTCAACATAACTTACTCAGGAAAAAGACCTGAGGGTTGGTTTGTTTTGGACAACTCACTGAAGACATCTGTTTACACAGCAGCAGGAAAGAAAAAAGCAGGGGGTAGCAAACAAAATGCTAGGCTGCATAGAGAGCAGGAAAAGAGTACTGAGAATAGTGTAACGTCACTGTGTAAATCAATGATGTACCTTTCACATGGAATACTGGGTTCAGTTACTGAAACCAGGAAACACATTCTGAACACAGCACTCTATATGAGCATATGCCCCTGATTTATAGAGTGACATTATACTACTGAATAACAAAAGGTAGAAGAGGTGCCAAGAAAGGCAACAACAATTACTCAAATCTTGAAGAGACTTTCATAGCAGAAGAGATTGAAATATCAAGCTTGTTTTGGGAGGAGACAAATAAGAGAGCGTCGGATAGAGATATATGAAATAATGAATGATTATAAAGAAGGTAAATTGGGAGCCCCTGGTATTACATGCAATATGAAATAGAACAAGGGGAAATGCAATGAAAGACAATAAATATAAAACCCATGCATGTAGTGATGTATTTCCTCAACACATGGAACTCATTGACATGCAGGATCACTGAGACCAAGAGCTTAGCAAGACTGAAATATGATTGGGTGTTTGTGGCTATTCTCATTATCCATATAGTTATATTAGATAGATCTTTTTTAAAAATGGAAGCGGTATAAACTCCTGTGCTATAAGGGCAGAAGCCAGCCACTAATTGTCCGAGGCTAGGAAGCAACTCCTATGAGCAGTTTACCGAATAATTGTTCTTTAAGGATTTCTTGCATTTTCCTCTGACACATCTAGTACTGGTCACTGTCACAGATAGGATACTGGACCAGATGGGTCATGGATCTGATCCAGTCTGGCAATACCCATGTTCCTATTACTTAAGTCCCCCACCCACCATCCCACTACATCTTTTCTTCTTCTATCTGGTGCACCACAAACATGACTGGCTGCAGCCTTCTTTGCGGGTGCCTGACAGACCATGTAGTGACTTACAACACCATTAACAAAATAATTAAAGAGCCTTACCAATTATTGTTAAATAAAATCCAGCTACTATGTCAGCTTCCCTAGAGAGTTTTGATGCAAAGGGGTCTTCATCCTGGAGGTAATGAGGAAGATGGTCATCTTGGGGCGAAGTGCTGTGATTTGATGCCATGCCACTCACGTACAGATTAGCAGTGTCTGAAAAGTGAAATAATGGAATCCATAAGAGATTAGAATTGCCACCAGGAATCACAATGGAATTTTTGTTTAGATACAGAAGAGCGCAACCACATCACCCCATCCCCATCTATGGTCTACCAGCTCTCCTTTCATTTCAGGGTCCAGTTCAAAATTGTACTCCTGGCTTTCAATCCTGGCTTTCAACCCTCCCCCTCCTCCAGTGTCTTGCTGCAAGTTACTACCTGACTTTCTCTATGTATGTAGGTACAGTACTTATAAGGGTCTCAGCAATGTAATATACTTGAGCAATGTCTTTACTCTCCAGCCCCTCTGTTCATGTGGCAATAGACTCTCATCTGCCCCTTCAACCACTCTTACAACTCTTGATCCAAGCACTTTCACATAGGCAGCTCCTTTTAGATGCAAAAACCATAGTATTGATCCTACTTACATGCCATATTTAGTAAATAATACTTCACATTTGTATAGCACTTTTTATCCATACATCTCAGAGCTCCCTGCTAAGGGAGGTTTGCATTATCATCCCCATTTTACAGATAGGGAAACCGAGGCACAGAGAGGCTGGCTCAGTGAGTGAGTGATGCAGATTCAAAACACAGATTTGAAGAAAGGCACAATGCAAAATGGAGTTGTAGCAGCTTTATTCTGAAAGTCAGATTTCACTTCCGTATCCATTATGTTGTGACAGTCCAAGACTGGGTCCCTCACTTGATGTCCATCAAAAGCATTTCAGGCTAAAAGGAAAAGCAGGGGTATTTCTGCTTATAAAGCTTCTACAGAAAAATGTGGATGTAATAGCCCCATTGAGACTATATATTCCCTACCCCGGCATCTCAAAGGGTTACTGAGTCCAATTCAAGTTCCTGGTTCTAGATATTAAAGCCCTTAATAATTTGGGATCGAGCTACCTTTTGGGGGGGAGGGATAGCTCAGGGGTTTGAGCATTGGCCTGCTAAACCCAGGGTTGTGAGTTCAATCCTTGAGGGGAGACATTTAGGGATCTGGGGCAAAAATTGGGGATTGGTCCTGCTTTGAGCAGGGGGTTGGACTAGATGACCTCCTGAGGTCCCTTCCAACCCAGATAGTCTATGATTCTATGATACCTCAGAGTTGGCCTCTGCACTGCAGCCCTCCAAAACCACTGCACTCTCAATGCCTTTTGGAGCTGCAAGCACCATCTTTTTAGTGCCAAGTCCTGAGCTAGGAACACCCACCCTACTTGAGAAAATCAGAAATATGCTTGAGAACCTGGCCACCTTTAGTGTGCCATCCAAACCTACCTTATGGCAGAAGCCAATACTCAATCACCAAAATGAAGGAGAAGAAAGCAAAGGCCAAGCTAAGGAAGAAAAAAAAATCAACTGCAAATGGAAAATTCCAGGAAATCAAGGGCAAAAAGCCAATTTTGTTCTGAGGATCCATGCGGTTGCCTCATGTCATGCTCTATAGACTATGTGATTCAGACCATTTCTGGAGGAAAGCTGGCTCAGGGTCCCATGGGAAAGGGGGCTGACCAGGAAGTCTTACCCGAGGAATGGCAGGATGGTAACATGTGACATGCCTGACAGAGGCTGATTGGCTGATCATGGGCTCAGTCAGCCTATTTTTATTTTCACTGTCTCAGCTCACCAGTGGCCAGAGCAGTGAGTTTAAAAAAAGAAGAAAAAAAAAGCAAGCCAGGACAGCATCTTTTGCAAAACCGGACACAAAGTTAGGAAACGAGGATCATTCCATAGTTCCAGAGGCACATGGTCAATCTACCTAATAAGTAGAGCTGATTGGGAAATTTTCTTCAAAAACCTGGAGAGTGGGGTGGGAGGAGGTATTGTTTCATGGTCTCTGTGTATATAATGTCTTCTGCAGTTTCCACAGTATGCATCCGATGAAGTGAGCTGTAGCTCACGAAAGCTTATGCTCAAATAAATTGGTTAGTCTCTAAGGTGCCACAAGTACTCCTTTTCTTTTTGCGAATACAGACTAACACGGCTGTTACTCTGAAACCTGTCAATATTCCTTCAGTAAGAGTGATGAGGACAGATACAATAGTTTTGCCTAGGTTCCTTGTTTGTGTATCTTGGAAAGTCTGTGGAAACTCCCTGGGATGAGCTCACAGGGAATGAGAATATAAAATTTCTCTTGTTGTTTGGGGAAGAATTTGATGATATCCTTAAATTCCTTGGTAAATTGTGGTGTGGGGTGTTCTTTGAGTTCTTTTTAGTAAGTGATGTTGGAGAGTTACCTAGGGAGATGGTGGAATCTCCTTCCTTTGAGGTTTTTAAGGTCAGGCTTGACAAAGCCCTGGCTGGGATGATTTAGTTGGGGATTGGTCCTGCTTTGAGCAGGGGGTTGGTCTAGATGACCTCCTGAGGTCCCTTCCAACCCTGATATTCTATGATTCTATGAGAGGTGTCAGTTGGCCTCCTTGACATAGTCATCATAGTTGAGGACTATGATGGTGCCCCCTTTGTCTGCTGGTTTGATTCCTATTTGGTAGTTGGATTTCAGAGACTGTCTAGCTGTCGTCTCAACTGTGGAGAGGTTGTGGTGGATGTGATGTTTGTTAAGGATTTCATAGTCAATTTTTTTCCTGAAGCAATCAATGTAATGATCCAGACTGTAGTTCCATCATCCAGTCAGATGATTATTTTTTCTTCTGATTGTTCGTGAGGATGTGGTAATTGTGCGCAGTGGTGTCATTTTTGTGTAAAAATTGTTTGAGGCAGAGTCGGTGAAAGAATTCTTCTAATTCTCAATATGTTTGTATGGTATCAGGTTCTGTGGAGGGGCAGAAGTTCAGTCCCTTGGAGAGACAGATAGCAATGCTGGTTAGGGGTAATGTAATGGGGTGGAGTAGGCCCAAAGGCCCCCTGTTGGAGGCCTCAGGGTTCTGCCATACCCATCCCAGGAAAGAAGTAATGGAGAGGTTCTCCAAGGGGCCTAGAGTGGTTGTGAGGAAGCAACCAATCACAAGGGCTGCTGGAACTGTCAGGAGCCAGGAGGGCCCTATAAAAGGAGCTGCAGAACACAGCAATAGTTAGTTGCTGCTTGGAGCTGGAGAAGAAAGGACTGCATGCCTGGCAGGCTGGAAGAGCAGCAGGACCAAAAACAGTCTGCTGGCAGGGACCAAGGGAGCGAGAGAGCTGGCTGCTGGGACTGAGTAAGGACTGAGCCCGGGGAGGGCCACGGGAAGATATTGTCTCCAGGGAGGAAGCTCTGGGGATACAGCCCCATACCAGGGCTACTTAAAGATTGAGCCCAGGGAGGGATAAAGATACCATCACCAGAGGGGTGGACAGTATCCCTCAGAAGGGGTATGTTCTGGTTCACATACAGACAATGTGTGTGATTTGGCTGGAGGGCTGAGTTGCTGAAAAAAACATCTGAGAACCACCAAAAAGGGTCACCAGAACTGAAAGAATGCAGACACACCCAACCAGAGGGGACGGTCACGTGAGGTGGGTGCCAACCCCATTTCAGGTAGTCTTGATACATTGATGATGTTGGGGTGTCGTGTAGTGTCCATGTGGTGGGTCCTGGTGCCATGGTTTCTCCCGGAGGTGGTATTCTGTGGGCTGTTAAGTTGTAGTTGGTTCCACTTTTTGTTTTTGTATTAGTTGGGTATCCTCAGGTTTTTTTGATAACTGTTTTGGGTTTCTTGCATGATTTCCAGGTATCTTTCCTGATTTTTTCTTCCAGTGCGTGGATTGTGTGATGATTTCCTGTCTGAGGTGGTCCCTTCTGGAGTATCTGAGATGCAGTAAGTGGTTCCTCAGTTTTGTGGAAGTCCTTTTGCAGAGCTGTTCAGCATATTTGGAGTTGTATGTAGTGATCAGAGGGTTATAGAAGGTGAAACCCCTGCGGATGATGTTTTGTGTCCTACATTTGGTTAGTAAGTAGATGTCGCTGTTAAGTTTTGCTTCCTTTTTCTTGATATTGTGGAATTTCTACTTCAGATCACTGTTCCCTCTAAGCTGTGTGCATGCACACAGATCCTAAACCTCATGCACACGGCGAAACACTGCATGCACAAAAATTTGCATAGAAGCACAATAATTTGCACAGAATAATTTTTTTGTGAACACGGCCTGTGAAAAATTATAGGGAACATTGCTTCAGATGGCAAAATTCGATATCTTCCATTGTTCCATGCAGTGCTGATGTAGCCATGTTAGTTACCGGATATTAGAGAGACAAGGTGGGTGAGAGAATATATTTTATTGGACCTTTTATTGGTGAGAGAGATAAGCTTACACAGAGCTCATCTTCAGATCTGGGAATTATACAGTCACAGCTAAATACAAGATGGAACAGATTGTTTAGAATAAGTAGTTAATACATAGTTCAAGGGACCATTCAAAGTGAAGTGGCCCATTATCTCTCCAGGCACAGGGGGAAAGGGAAAAAAAGCTGTGGGAGGGGAGGAGTTATAGATTGTTGTAATAACGTGAAGGGCTAAAATCCGTATGCTGTTTATGTTACAACCTGATATATAGACTGTGTCCGCTCTTTTTACAGGCCCAAAATCCAGAGTTTGGTCAAGAAGACAGAGGCCTAGCAAATAGTGAACAATATTAGCTAAGAAGCAGAACAAGCAAAGGACAACCTTGTTTTTTGCTAAGATAAGCTTGGTAGGCAAGAAGCCAGATGGAAATTATCTCAAAGTTAGGAACAGACCATAGGAATGAAAGGGGCCCTGTTTCTTCTGTAGAAGAGGTGCATTCCTACACACCAGCCTTGAGTTTATGGAAGAGGTTCAAACATATCAGTATGAGATATGATATCCTCCTTCTCACAGATGTGCACCTCTCCTCCTAGCCATTGCCAGTACCTGCCTTAGAAACACAAATAAATAATTAAAAGACTATCTTTATTGCTATATACTTTTCATTTGTCCTTTTGCTTTAACTCCTAGGTGTGTACCTGTTGGACAATCAGGGGAGCTACAGCTCACGAAAGCTTATGCTCAAATAAATTTATGAGTCTCTAAGG